CATTGCACTCCGAAGCTCCGAGACTGTACCCACCATTCCCTGAACAAAGAGGGTGGAAGATGTCCAGTCTGCATCACTGAGAGGGGACGTACCCCCTGACTCAGCCTGTTGGCGAAAACACGTGCGTCTAAGGCCACGTCTCGTAGCACAGTAGTGGCCCTTGGCCAAGAGAGCCAGGTGACACTAGGGGGATGTCGCACGTAGATGTGCAGTGGCCGCCAGTAAATGTGTCGCCTGGTCTAGGAGGCTGGTGCGTTCTGCCTTCGAGGTCTCCAGAGTCCTGGGCGCGTGCAATAATGCGCTCAAGCAACTCTGCCCTCAGGGCTGGATGGGTCGTCTCCGATTGAGCTGGCGAGAACGCCCATGGAACGCCGCTGTCCCCCTTTGCCTGGTTTGCCAAACGGAAATTCGTGGTACCGGGGTCTGGGGAAGGAGCCTTGGGATCCGGCTGGGGGTGTTTTGGTCTTATCCCACGCTATGGGGTTTGATCCCAAAACCACACGGACCGGGTAGCGTTTGGTCCAGCGGGAAGTGTTGCCTAAGGTTTTTCCCACCCGGGGGCCTTAAGCGTTACGTCCTCCGTGGCTGACCAACGACTGCCCATCAACACCATTTTGCGCGTCCTGCGCCCCACTCCGCACTCAGACGAACAGGGAGAGATGTGCCGACGGGGTTACTTTGGATCCCGACGCCCGTGATCCCCTAAGCGTTGAAGCAACCTTAGGTGGTCGCTTTAGGATCAAGGGTGGGGGTATTTACATTGTATCAATGGGAACGATGATACTCCGCATCACCCCAAAAGTGTGGCTTACCGAGTCATTACGGATGGAAGACTCTGAGGGACCGCCCAGAGTACCGGCTGTATTCGACGCAAGCGAACTACGTCTCCTTTCACTTTAAATATGTGAGAGGGAGCGTGTTCGATTGTGCATCTCATGACAGGGTCGGTTCCCTCTGGGGACACCTGTGGGTCGGTAAGAAGGGAGTCCAAAACCCACAGCGGAGACCGGACACAAGGATAAATTTGTTACCGTTGTATCGTTACCATGCGACGAACCCTGGCTGGCTGAAAGTAGGGGGGTCAACGTGTGCCTGATCTACCCGGCCTGCCAGGAACGCAATTGCCCTGACAGTCCTTCGGCTGAAGCCCTCAACTCGGAAGCAAACCCGGCGCTGTGCGAGGAAGGGTCCACAAAGGGACCCGCAACAGGCCCCATAGGAGGAAAGCCTCCAGGGGCACAGCCTTGCTGCAGCCAGTAAAATCGGGTAAACCACCGCCTGAAAAAAACAGACTGTGAGGATGCCCTCCGATCAGCAGGGGGAGACCGAGAAAAAGTATCGGTACCTCCACCATCGGGCCTCCTACTCGACGTCCCGGTACACAAAGCACTTTCCACTCATGCCAAACACGCACTCACTTTAACCGATTTGTTTACTGGACGCGCGACCCTGCTGTGAAGAAACGAGCGACGCGGTCAGTCTCAGCGATTTTGATAGCTCTGAAAGAAAAATCTCAGGCCTCAGAACTCCAGTGAAAAAACACACCTTCACGGTAAAAACCCCGAACCCTGCACGCAGCTACGACAAAAGTATTTCGGATGCGGGTTCTATGCTGGTAAATTCTGAATATAACCACTGCACAGTCGACTCGAAACACGAGGAATACCAAAAAATCCGGCAGCGAGCCCTTTTGCTGTCATTACAACTATTCATTTCTAAATACCTAGGTCAAGCATACAATGAAGACGACATGCAGGAGGGAAGCGAATTACAGTAGGAAAGGAGACGTAATGAAAACCAACAAGTGAATAAGCTACGTCGCCCGGGTTTTATTTTTGTTGTTGTGAAAAATACCACACAACAAAGGGGAAAACGACACGAGGGTAAAAATGACAAGGAAAACTTATCCTACCAGCTACAATGTCGGATGCCGGGCAGCGGCAACAACCCAAGCTAAAAACCCGGACAGGAAAAAAAAAGCAGGCGATGCAGGCAGAGCTCGCTAGACTTGATCTCCATTCGATGCGGAGAAAAAGAAGAGTGATTGTACAGCCGTCTATGGCGCCGCCATATGGGCTCGGTCACGTGGTTCGTGACGTAAGGTAAAAAGAATCTAGGGGTCATTGGGCTTCCCCTGACCTAGATTATATCTCTCCGTCACCGGCAGAATCGCTGATTAATGCCTACAGTTCAAAATAGTCATTTTGACTGACCGGAGTCTATGGAGGGTAATTAAACGTAGTGAATATGTCTTTATCTATAATACTCTTCATATGACTCCATAAGAGCACTGGCGACTATATAGAATAGAACAGGGGTGGATCATATATGCACATATATGTAAACCAATATATGACTTAGACCATAGACATAACAATGTCATAGATAAGAGAAGAATGTTAGAATCACTGTACATCTGCAACATATAGTGTGTTCACATCCTGTGCAATATCCAGTGGCCACAATATTTACACCCCTTATACAAAATGCTGGCATAACTTTGTGAGAAAAGGGTGATGATGGGTAACCAGTTTAATCTTTGTATACATAATGACATGTAATTTACTGTTATTATATCCTACTCAGTAACTAAAGAAGAAACCCACTGCAGGGGATCCTCTTCAAATATCCATCAAGTAGTAATTTATATTCAGTAATTACAGTGTTCTCCCCAGAAAAATGTATCAGAGTGGCGGCTAATTTGCATATAATTTACATATCATTAGCATTTGTCTGAAGATAAAGAAAACAATAATGACAGGCTTGCATGGATGAAAATGTGTCTTTATTTTTTAACAAATTTATGTAGAAGATTAAATGAATCTGCTGCTGTGTGATTTCTATGCAATGTTGATTTTTCGGACTTTCATGGAAGCCCAGTGATCTGCAGCTTTTGAGAACGCCGTGATTTTCTTTGCTTCCCACTTCTATTAAATGACATGGCCTTCTTGTGCATCTCTGAGTGTGCGTGTTTATCGATAGCATATTTCGTAATAGTTATACATGGCATAGAATTCCATACCAAAGAACTATTTCTGGATGTTTTTAAGTTGAATTTTCCACATATGTGTCACAGCATTCCTAAAAGATAAGAAATAGGAGCGAATCAATACTTGTATTTAAAAAATATCGTCACGATCAACACGAAAATAAACAAATTGCCGCCATTTTGAAAAGTCGCTAAACTTAAAAATTGCCACGATAAACTTTACCCAACTATTTCAAAACACAATACTAGTATTAGTTACTTTGATAAATCGTAGCCAACAATTTTTGAACTTCCAGAAAAAAGTCGTTTCAAAAAATGTTTCGACGATCGGCAAAA